GAAGGCCTTATGAGGAAAGGCTGAGGGACCTGGACCTTTTCAGCCTCTGCAAGAAAAGGCTGAGGGGGGGATCTTGTAGCAGTATATAAATTGATCGGGGGGGCCAGGGGGGGGGGCATTAGGGAATAGGAGATGCTCTGTTTACCAGAGCACCCATTGGAATAACCAGAAACAATGGCCATAAGCTGATGGAGAGTAGGTTTAGGTTGGACATCAGAAAGAACTTCCTCATGATTAGGGTTGCCAGACTCTGGAACAGACTCCCAAGGGAGGTGGCTTCCTTGCATGGAGACTTTGTATCTTCTCTTTTAAGTAAGCATTGCACATTTAACTGCCCCATCCCCCATACCAACCAACCCCCGGTCTAAGCAGGCTTCGTTCTTACTATGTAACTTAGTTGCATCCTCTCCCCTCCCACCCTGTACTATGTAGCCACATTTGTCAGGGTCTCTGTATCTCCTACCACCCCTTCAACTTCGTAACTTCTTTGTAATGTTTACTAATAAACTAAATCTGCTCTTATCAGTTCATATAAAGAACCCTGAATTGCCCCCATGTTCGTGTGTGGGGGAGCAAAGACTCCGAAATTCAGGGTCACTGGATCCTGGGATGGGAGACACCCCAAACATGGAGGTGAGTGGAAGAGGCTTCCCGGTGAGGTTCCAGGTGCAGACAGGACATTTGCACCCAGGACAGCTGCCAATGGAGAGAGAAGATTTCTTAACAAAAATCATGCAAGACCTGCTGAAGGTAAAGCTTGCAATTTGTATTGGCTCATTTGCATGTCGGGAGGAGCAGAGTGGGAACTCAGCTTCAGAGATCCCAAGAGCAGACTGGATTTCTGGCAGCATCTCAAGCCGGGCTAGGGGAATCCCCAGCTGCAGGGTTTTGAATTTGCCAGGGGAGGCACAAGGAGGGAGCAGCTGGTTACAATCCAAATGTACTCTGGCCAAATAAAGGAAGAGGATGTAAGTTTTTGGCTTAAAAGATACTATGAGAAAGTAGAAAAAGTGTAGAAAGTCCTAGACAAATTGGGGGGGGGGGGGGATAGACTGGAGCCTGGAAAGCCAGGGCAATGCTGAAAACCCTGGTTACCCAGATGAGGTTACCCAGATGAGGCACCTCCCCACAACAATCTCTCTGCGCCCCCATAGGGGCTTTGTCTTCTATTAGGGGTGGCCCAAACTCTGCCACAAATGCAGGGAGAGCAGGGACACCTGGTGGCACAATGCCCCCCAAAAATCGTGCCATATGCAAAGGAAAAGACCATGAAGCCAAGGACTGTAGCAGACTGGCACTGTAATTTGTATGGGGAGGAGGAGCATGTCTTTAAAAATTGCCCCAAATCCTTCATAAACAAGGCAAAAAACATGGCGCGACCCCAGTGGTCTCAAGCCCTCTAGACCAGCCCCCTCCATCAGTAACAGAGAACTTGGGGGTGGCAAAGGAGGATGGAACACGGGAGGGAACTCAGAGGGAAGAGGAAACAAGACAAAGCTGCCCCCCACCTCCGAATCTACAAGTGGTCTTTCAAGCAGCCAAATGAGGAACTTGTAAGATTATGAAGGGAACAGGAGATGGAGGGAGAGAAACAGGCCACCCCAGAAGGGAGCCAGCAGAAAGCCACAGATGCTGAAGAGGAACCCAATGCAAAAATGGAAATCCAGGGGGGACAGGAGGAGCCAGACCAGAATGGCTGGGAAACTCCAAGGCATAAGAGAGGACTGAGGTCCCCCCCCACAGCTATACCAACCAAAAAAGGGAGCCTGTCTTCCTGAAGGCTCTCTGCAAGGTTGTAAAAAACTTGAGCCTGAGCAGAGGGCCTTCAGGGAGACAGGCTCCCTTTTTGGTTGGTGTGGCTACCACTGCCCCCCCACACTGCTTTATGGGCTTCCTAATAGTCTCATTGAATGTGAGGATCCTGCTAAAGAAAGAGAGATGGGACAAAATATGCAATGCCTGGGTTAGCTATAAGCAAATATTATCTTCAGGAATGTGGCTTGTAGAGTTCCAAAAAATATCCTTTGTTTGAAAAACACTGGTTGCATGGTCACTCCACGTGATTGGGGTCCAGCAACAATAGATCATCAGGGGTGGCCATCCTGCTGCAAGGAGACAAAGTGAGATCCCTGCAGGACAGACAGATTGCTGCAGGCAGACTACTACAAGCCACCTTTGAAACAAAGGGAGGGAAATTTGACCTCCTAAATGTTTATATACCAGCCAATAAGGAAATGAGGATGTGCGCCTTCCTGGAAAACATGACTGTGGCAATCCCCACTACTTGGCCAGTGGTGATCACAGGAGACTTCAAATGCATCATTAGAGAGAGAAACAGTATAAGTGGAGGCCAAAAGACTGGCCTAGAAAGATCCTTCAGGATGATGTGTAAGTGTTGACAGTGGAGCAGGGCTGGGGGGGCACAACTCCATGCCACCAACACTGCCCCCATTGCTGCCAGGTACTGGCTCCAGCTAGATTGCAGCATTGCACCCTGCCATCAATGCAGAAATTGGGGGGGAGGGCACATGCCCCCATCCCCCTCCTGCATTAACTATGGTGATGGGCACATGGGCATGTGAGTTTGTGGCCAATTGGGTGCACAGTTGCAGCTATTGTAATGGGGATGATAATGGTTAGCTGTAGATGGATGTTATGGGCTTCACAAGTGAACTGCATCAGTTACGAGACAGGACAGTAAGGTACAGGAGTTTGTGTGTATATATATATTTGCAAAAAAATAGTTTGTAGTATATATATAAGCAGGTACAAAAGTGCTGCTTTAAAATGTGTTTATTGAGGTCCCATGCTAAAACTTGCAGCAGTTTCAAAAAAGGTAACATGCATCAATTCTGGAAGAACTAAGTCTATGGGTACCTGTAGTAATTTGCCTATATGATAAATTATGTTCAGGTGGGTGAAGGGATTGCAGGGGGAGCAAAGGGGAAGGGGGGCTACCTGACCCCCCAGATTTATTTTCCCTGACATAGCAGTGGAAAGAGGACAAATCAATCTATACCTGGAAAATTATAACAATTTTATAAATTTTCCATATAGAGAATCTAATTATTGGGGAATTGTCTTATAGTTAGGGTCATCTTATTTTCAAGGAAATATGATATTTAAATACATTTAACAAGAACATTTAGGCTACGGACTATGAGCAAGCTGTTTGTAGTAAGGTTTCAGTTTGCAGTTTAGCAGTCACAATTCACCATTTTAGCTTTGTAGCTGATCCCTTTGGCCTGGTCTCCATTCCATCTTTAAATATCTAAGTGGCATTTATATATTTCTAGCCATCTAAATCACTAAACACAATCCTATTCCACCTCTAAAGCATACATAAAATCACTAAGATGTCTATCTTCACTTAAATTCTCCTGCAATCCATCTAGAAAATGCATAAATCCCGGTTCCCTAGATGGAAAACCACATGGTGGCAGCAATGATACTGCCCACATTTTTACATGTGCTCCAGGGGGTGGAGAGGTGCTTTAATTAGAGCCACTCCAAGAGCTGCTGTAACTAAAGCACCCTCCGTACCTCATGTATCAGTGTCCCTGCGCTTCAAAATGGTGGCAGGGGCACTTTAACTGAAAAATTGAATGAGCTTTAGTTAAAGCGCCCCCATCACCATTTTGAAGTGCAAGGACACTGATATACAAGAGGTAGAGGTTGCTGGAGTACACTAATTAGCACACTCCATCAGACTTGATTAATCTGTAACTACAACACATTGGAGCAGGTTCCCACACATCTACAGGCAACCCTAGTGATTAGGGCACATGCCCAGAAAGACAGGGGTCTGGGCTGTAGGCCCCTCAAGCCCAAAGGAGACTGAACACACATCTGGCACTTCCCAGGAAAGTGTCCTAACCATTTAAATAGTCACTGAATACAATGTATCAGCTTTGGAAGCAGGGGCCAGAACCCTAGGCTCCCTTCTATCCCAGGGGGGTGTCATCCCACTGGGCCACAGAAAAAGCATGGCGAATGGAATTTATATGCTTTCCTTTCACCCCAACCCATCTTGCAATTCTTTCCATTGTCCAAATTTCAAGAGGGGCTATGGTTACCTATCTCCTACTTTCCTGGGAAGTAAGAAATGTGGATTTCATAACCATTAGGGTTAGGGGAACCTAAAAACCAGGTCTCCTACTTCCTGGGCAAGTGCTACAACCAGCAGCCTACTGTACCGGGAAAACATCAGATACTACATATGCATGCATACATACACAGAGCAAATGCTTCTCACTAGCAGTTAAGACGCACTGAAATGGGCTGATGTCTCCTCTCCTAGAAAGTATTTGTGTGTGTTTCTTAGTAACATGGGTCTGGGTAAGACTAACAGGCACCTTCAGAGCACCTTCAGACTCGCAATGAAAAGCAAGTCTAGAGCAGCTCGTTTCCCTGAGCTTCTAGAATAACTTACTGTAAACCTTCAAGATGCTACGTACTCCATGGACTTGAGCCAACAATGCACGTTAAGAACATACTTAACTTAAAGCATGTGAGCCATCCCACTGCATTGGCTCATATATAGCATAACACAAATATATGTCTTAGCATTTTAAAATCCATTATCCAAGCAAGGCACTCACAGTGGCACTTGTGTGCATTCATAACTGCTCATATGGTTGCCTAATCCAGAGTTCAGATTTGAGAAATGAGCCTTGTGCTTATACATGCAATTGATGTTTTTAAGGAGAAGTGTTTCCTGTTCACATAAAATTACTAGAATTGTATACTTATATGCCAAATGCCTGTAGAGATATATTATGCCCACTACTGCATCATTTTGATTACTAGCGCAAATCTTCTTTTACCCAGAGGAATCTTATTTTCCTTACGTGAAAACAGAAAGTGTTTGTTTAGTGGTGACTCTCCTGTAAAGGCACAAAGTGTTCTCAAGATGCCGGTTTAACTCGGCAAACCTACCTCGTGGGAAAAGATCCTTTTTAAAAATCACCACATATTTTCCCTCCCCCTTAGGAGTTTACCTAAAGAGGATCCTCTTCCCAACGGTCCACCAATAGGGCTGGGGATGCCACTTTTATTTGACACATTCACTGGGCTGCTTTTACTAGCTGGGAAGAGGTTCTGTGTTGGCGATGTCGGGGATTTGACAGGTTCAGCTGTCTTGGGTCGGGCTGAGAGATTCAGTGGCTGTGCTGCTTCATCCTACAAGAGTTTAATGTAAATAATTATTAGAAAAAAGACAAATGAAACACATTATCACTTAGTAAGCCACAGTTATTTTACACCTCCAAGACAATGCCACATTCTCCTGCAATAATAACAAAAGAAGCTAATTATCTGTCTCCTTGAAGATTCAACGAAAGAAAACCTCATTAATTTCTCTGTGTTATGCTTCTATTTACATTAACTATGTGGCTGGATCATTCTTTTTGCCAAATTAAAATTTGAATTAGCTCACATTACGGCTTAATTTCCTAATGTGTTTTCAGAGATCTAAATTAACCTAGGGCATTTACAAAGAATTATTTAAAATTTCCAGCAGCTCAGTAGTGCTTTTGTGCTGGGTCTATCTGAAAAGTTCCTGGAACTATAAATAAGCTATAGAACTTATTTTTAATATATTAGAAATGAAGCAATAAGAATTTCAGAAATGGCAACATTTACAGCCCTTATTTATATCTTTGAATCATTCATCCATAATATTGTTGTTATTGTACACCTTTTTAGGGTGCATAATCTAAATCATTTATTGATCTGTGCTCTCTTCCTGTAACAAAAAGAGTACTGCAAAGAACACAATTGCATTGATCTACGCCTTAATCTATGCATAATACCGTGCACAATTTCAAATATTTGGTACGTTGCCATTCCAAAGTCATCTGTCATCTGTTTTGCCAGATTTTATGTAAAATTAGTCTTTTTCATGCAATACTACCTAGTGGTCAGGGGATGCTCTTCTAATAATTTCTACCATGCTCAAACATTATTCTATCTGTGCCTTTTTTCTTTGAACAAAACTTCAGTTGTCCTCCTCTCCCTTGTGTACTGGCTTGTGCTTCTTGCTTAATTTAGTAGCAGCCAGCAAGGCACAGCACTTTAGAAATGGGAGAAAGCTCTTTTTCCTTAATTAAGGTAAGACAGAGATTTAAAATACATTGAAAGCTGAGAAATGCTGTATATATAAGGTTACATTGTTTATATTTCAGAAAGCAGCTCTGAGCACTTCAAAGTTTAGAAAAGTGCAACACTATTATATTGTCCTTTCCATTCTCTTTACTGTCCAGCAGTGATTCAGTAAAGTCCTAGCCAAACACAATGCATTAAACAAGTCTGCATAACAAATACGTATTTATTTATAATGGCATCCCATCTCTAGAGTTCAAATGATTTCTAAATAAGTTGTAAGATACATTTTTTACCTGTATGAATGGCTAAAATTAAACATAGTCCCTAACCCTGCAAAGAGCCTCTACCATCTATGCAGAGCATAACTGATGTCAATGGAGTTCTGCATCAACATAGGTGTTTTGCCCACACAGATGTAAATGAAGGGTAATGACCTTAGCAGGTTCACACAGTTTGTGGCCATGACACAGCAAGCTGTTTGCCTGCGTAAATACCCAGTGACTTGAACTGTATTCCATGTGGGCCCAGAGCTCGTCCTGAATTGAGTAGCTTGCAGTTAAGGGATTGTGAGCAGGCATACTTAGAGTCATTGAGTCAATGGACTGGAAGGGACCTGTAAGATCATCATGTCTGGTCCCCTGCTATAGGCAGGAGGTTAAAGAGCTAAAACTATCTCACAACAAGGTGCTTATCCAGCCTCCTCTTGAACACCTCCAAGGATGGTGACTGCACCACCTCTCCCAGGAGTGTTATAGATTCTAGTTACCCCTATGGAGAAGTTCTTCCTTATGTCCAGCCTAAATCTTATCTCTATTAGTTTGTGACCATTGGTCCTCGTCCTCTCAAAGGGTGCCTTCCTGAAGAGTTGCTCCCCCAGATCTTGGCGCCACCTGACATATCTGTAGGTGGCTATCAAGTCACCTCACAGCCTCCTCTTACCCAGACTGACCAAGCCCAGCTCCTGGAGTCTCTACTCATATGGCCTATCCTCCAGGCCCCTAATCTTGTGGGTGGCCCTTCTCTGCACCCTCTCAAGTTTATCTGCATCCCTCTTGAAGTGTGGTGCCCAAAACTACATAGAAGCCTATGTGAACATGTTCAATTCTCAAATAACTTTCTGTCCAGTAATTCTGATGCTACAATAAACAGAAAACAATGCCTTTGAACACCTCCAAAGTCTTTCGTTGCTCCTTCTTGTCAGACATCATTCCTCATCTAAAACAGCTGACAGGTGAATAAGCATTCTGGCCCCGATGTGAAAATCCTAACATTACCTTTTGAAACAATTTGACTTCTACAAAGTAATCCTATTTAGCTCTATAACTAATGTATATAGGTCACACAAACAGATGGTTAAATACAGAGAAGATTTTTATGGTTTATTAAGCAATGCATGACAATTAAAACTGCTGTGTACTGTGTGGGCAACAGAATTCTCAAAGAAAGCACTCTAGCGCTAGTTTATTGGAGAGTTTTTATATTAAGTATTAATTAAACTTTTATGATAACCCTTCATATTTTTCTGTATGAAGTTCTTGCAATTTACCTCTAATATTTTCAAAACAACAGTGAGTTTAATAAAGGAAGTATAAAAATGGGGGGGAGGGGTGTTACTAATATGTATTACAGTCCATTCAAGTTAAATTATGTAGGGA